CGCAGACACAAAATGTTGAGGCCGCTCTCATTGAACAGGGAATTATTGTTGGCTGTCGGCCACAGGATCGATTTGTCAGGCCAGCCTTCAGCGTTATGCTTGCAGTCGGTTCGGCTGACTCCTAACAGAGGTGTGATCCTCAGCTTCTTTTAAAGGTTGGCCCTCTTCTACATTCGTGGTCCTGGCTTAGGAATATCCTAGTTATTCGCCGCTGAAATTTACACATAGCCCATTGTACGTTAGTCAAGATTTGAAGACTGCGTAAAAGTAGAATTTAAAGGATCCATAAATTTTGAGAGTGCTCATCAGCTGCTTAATCTCGTACGGAAGATTTCAATAAGGCCATAGGACTTGGTCACAAAGGCTAACTAGTAACGTATGCATGTTAAAACAATGGGGAAAGTAAAGTGAGAAAAAATGGTTAAAGTGAAAAGGTGGGCTGGGAAATATGTAAATTAGGAAGCCTAATATTACCAAGGCAGAGTAAGCTTAACCACATTTAGCCGCCGTTTAAAGGCTGCCTCCAGGTAGCGTGAAGTACGAGTTGTTCCTGCCCGAATGAGGACTCGGAACAAAGTTTTGGGGTCCACAGATAGATCCGTATCTAAGAAATGTTCAGTTATTTATGAACGAGGAGTTCTGTTGTCCTGTTTCAATAGCCAATTAGGCAAGTTCTCCTTGGCTCTGGCTGCCAATTGCCGTTTCGTTTGCCTTATGTACTTGCATCCGCAAGTGCACAATTTAAAGTGGCGTGAACTGACAAGGCATCCTTTGCACATGGACTTGCTAGTGGCTTTGTTGGATTGCACAAAATGAGTACAGCAGCCAAGTATGTCCTTTCAATGGTGTTTAGTAGGCCTTTAAAGGAGAAGGGTATGAAAACAGGCTTTTTAGGAGCTAAATATTTCGTCCTTTTGGTTCGCAAGGGTTTACTATGCTCGTCTATAAACTGACCTGGATATCCCAGTTTCAGAAAGCATATGTGAGACTGGCTAATTCTGCATCCAGTGTATCCATAGAGCAACTTTTTCTCGTCCTTTTGAAAAGAGTATATACCAAAATGCGTTTTTAGTGAATGGGAACAAAATTCAGATGATGCCAATACTGACCTTTCCAAGTATAGTTATGGAAGACCGTTTCTGTAATGAAGTCATTTTCTTGTCTGAAAAAGTCAACTTTGAGGAAGGAGAGCTGGTTCACTCTTTCCTGATTCATTCTACAATTGATCTTGGGAGGAGATTGTTCATTGCAATCAGTAATTCTTTCGCTCCCTTTATATTATCAATAATCGCAAAGATATCATCTACATATCTTCTGTAGAGTGTTGCCTTGTTTAATTTTGAGAACGCTTTTTCTTCTAGGTGGCCAATAAATATGTCGATCCAAATGGACTTCCAATTACAACTCCGTCAACTGGTCGGCATAATCGGCCGTTAGATAAAAATTGGACATCCTTTGTAAAC